CTTTCTTGTCTTATGGTATCCTTTCTGTTCCCCACCACATGCAGCCAAATCTTGTTTGATGCCAATATACTGTTTTAGCAGGCTTGGCTGGTCTGCGTTTAAGCCATAAATTCAAAGTTGTCAGCTGGGCATGGTGGGCACTGTAACCCAAGTTTCAAAGAAACTAGAATTGGAAGCATGAGAAAGTAGGACCCTTGTGCTGGTGGCCATCCTGGTCTGGAGTGGCATCTTTGAGAGGACATGGGAAGGAAAATCTCAGGATAAGAAATGTTTCTGCTTCTGCTGGGGACCCTTGGGATATTTCCAAGGTCTTCAAGAGGTGAGTAGATTAAAATTTTCTCCATGTCTTCTGGGGAGCAGGTCTCTGGTGGATCTGGAAGCTGTTAAGTCCCTCAGCTTGTCTATTATGCCCTCAGTTGTCATCTAAGTGTTACCTTTGAAATATTTAAAGTCACACTTTGTTCTCAAAAGGACTCCAAGTACTAGCTGGGTGTGTTTTGTCCTAAATGCCTGGCACCACAAATGCTTTATTTTGTGTATCTTTAAAAAGTATTTTCATACACATAATGCAACCCACATCTAATAAATACAAATTCGCTGACTTTACCTTATACTCAGAGCCTGGAGTAATTTTAAGCAACTGCTTTATTAGCTTTGCACACTTCAACAGTCACGAACCACGTGAGATCAGGGGTGGATGTCTGTGCGCACTTGGAGAGTCACAAACCATGTGAGGTCAGGGATGGATGTTTTGGTGCAGTATCATGTCAGCATTAAAAACTCTGAGACTTGTGAGCATTTCAAATGTCAGCTCATCTGATGAGGTTACTCAGCCTTATATAGGTTTAAGAGGAGCTTTACCCACTTTCTCCTCAGTCACATCCCCGGAGCACTGTTTCCTAGCACCGGTTCTCTTCGCCTCCCTTGTAAGGTACTATGAAAATTCTTGTTACTATGCTTCTTCATATGATTCTCTTTTTCCTCTATGCTCTTTTTTAATTCAACGGATTCTCACATTTCATCATATTTTCCAGTCAATTATCATTCTTTGTATTTCTCATTCAAATAATTTTATTCAAATGCATGCATCATAATATTTGATCCACTTTATAGTGTTAGGGATTTTTTTCTGCTTCTATTCTATACATATTTACAACAAATAAGACTGAAACTAATTTAAAATATCTCATTTTTTAAAAAAATAGCTAAAATCACTCTCCCAACTAAGTTAGTTGAGCATCCCTATTTGTAGATATTAATTTTGTATCTAAGAACTCATAAACACTCGTGGCACAGTGACATGGTATGATATCAACACAGAAAAATCAGGAATTTTCTTATGTACAAATGACAAACATACTAAGAAAGAAATAATCCCACTCACAATAAACACAAAAAAATTAAGAAATCTTGGACTAAAGCTAACTAAGAAAGTGAAAAAAAAGTCTCTAAATGTAAAGTATAAAACACAGAAGAAAACACTAGCAGACTGAAAAGCAGCCCCATGCTCATGGATTAGAAAAAATAATATTGTAAAAACAGCTGTCTTGCCAAAAGTGATCTACAGATAAATGCATTCTCCATCTATATTCCAGCATTATTTTTCATAGAAATAAGGAGAGTGGGTCTTTAAACTCATGTGGAACCATGAAATACCCAGATACCCAAAGCAATCCTGAGCAGAGAGAATGACACCGGAGGGATCCTCTGCCGTAAGTTATACTACCGAGCCATAGTAATGAAAGCAGCATGGCCCTGGCACAAAGACAGACACGTGCAGCCGTGGGGTAGAAGAGAGGACCCAGAGAGAAGCTCACACAGCTAAGCCACCTAATTTTTGACAAATATGCCAAAATACACACCAGAGAAGAGACAGTCTCTTCAACAAAAACTGTGTGTCTACAATCAGAAGAACTGAGATCTTTATCTTCCACCTGCATAAACATCAACTCCAAAAAGAAAGACCTCAACTGAAAAGCCAGAACTCTGATGCAGGCTTAGGCAGACACTTTCTCAACAGGACTACGGCCCCTCACAAAATAGGAGTGACAGTCAACAGACAGGAAAGGAAGAACGAAATGAAAAAGTTGTAAGCAACACAGTTGAGTGAGTGAAGAAATCCTCATGAGCTCCTCATCTTACTGGGAGAATGTAAGAAACACACAAACAGCCCTATTAGCAAAACAAGGAAGCAGATAATTCAGTTGTTTAAAATGAGCTACGAACTGAACACAGTTCTTAAAAATAGCAAGACAAATGGCTAACAAATGTTTGAAAGTGTATTCAACACCCTTATTCATCAAATAAATGAAAATGAAAACTACTTTGAGAGTTCGTGTCATTCCAGCTGGAAAGGTTGTTATCGAGAGGAGGGGGACACGGATGCTGGGGAGGACACAGAGCCTCAGTCTTCACTTGTGGGCATGTAATATGGAGTAGTCACCATATAGATCAGTGCAAAGGTTTCTAAAACAGCTAAAAGCAGGGCTTCCAAAGACCTAGGCACATACAGGACTCCATATCCTACAATAGAGCCTTGCGTATCTATGTTCATTGATGGTTTATTCATAAAAGCAAGAAGATAGAATCAGTACAGATGTTCATAAATTGTTGAATGGGCAGAGAAACTGTGTGGTTATATACACAACAGAATTCTATTCAGCCATAAAGAAAAATGAAATTATGAAATAGCATGAAAATGGAGTTAGAAAATTATGTATTAAATGAGGTAACTTGAGGTCAAAGACACAAACACCACAGCTCTCATATGCAAACTTAGCTTTTATTTTATGTACATATGCATTTTTGAAGAAGTCAGCACATGTGGAATCCAGGAAAGTAAGATTCTTTAAAGAGCGGTAGTTGTGTAGCAAAATGCATGTGATTTAAAAGCAGGGGTAGAAATAGCAGAAGATAAAAAGAAAAATGGGTGGGAGGCAGGAAGAGCTGGGAAGAGGTGGTGGGGAGGAAGGGTCAACCAATACTAATGATATATGGGGAAAAAAAAGAAGGAATTCTGGTACTCAAGAAGCTAATCAAAACATTTTTCTTTAAATGTTTGAAATGAAAATACCCTGTGTGGGTAGATAAATCAGCACCCTGAAGCCACATGTTTTTAAACAAAAATCCCAAGGCAAGCAATTATCTACCTATGAGATTTTCAGTCTGTCAGTGAGACCCCTAGAGCCCAGAAACAACGTAGACAAATGTCACTCAATTGGTTCTTCTCCAGAACCAGATGAAAAAATTCTATTGTTAAAGATGCCATCCGTATACATTGATCACAGGACACAGAGAAATTAATCTGGAAATGGGCTAATGCAACCTCCCTGCTAACTAGCTTTCATAATGCTGCAGGGTGCTACACAGACTGCTAGGAGAGAACTGTCTTATCCAGTGTGAGAATGTGTGTGTGTGCGTGCGTGCGTGCGTGTGTTCGCACGTATGCTCACACAGTATCAACTGACTAGGCAAGATGTGCCAATTAGTGCAATAGTGACAATCTTTTATGGAGATAACCAGCTGATTCTCTGATCTGATCGATTGCCTAGCCCACAAGAAGAAATGCACATCTGATATGTGAACTAGTCAAAAGCCCATGGCTGGGAGGTCACAGGCACTAGAGAGAAAGTTACTGCTGCTGTTTACTAAGTGTATATGGTGTGCCTTCAAACTGTCTTCTAAATAACTAGACTGATGCAGCTGTCAGCTCAGAGCAGCTCCTTTTTCCAGGGAGCTATGGTGACTGCAGGAACTCATAATTGGTAATGACTCTTGAATCTCCAGTCATAAATAAAACATCTATATTATCCCTCCAAGGCTCCATAAATACCATGGAAGGAGCTGATATAATATAGAAGCAATGAGAAGGGACTGAGCAGAGTGGACGACTGTTTTCTTAACGGCACGACTATTGCACTGACAGCAGCTACCATTACCTGCACAAGACTGGGCCCTGTGATAGATGGAAAAGGGGAGTCTTACGGGACCTTAACCCCACTTGAGGATTTATATGCACTAATAATTGGTGGGGGAATAGGCATTTTCCAACGGTACAGGTACTAGAAAGGTATCTACACGCTTGTGAGCAAACTCTCACCTATAATCCTGTAAGCAAGTTTTATATTTGGGCACATCAAAATAGAAAAAGTAGAAGGTAGTCAACTCAAAAAACAGAAATAATTAATGACAGTAGGGGTGAGACAAAATAAGAAAACGGGGTGAACATGATCAAAATACATATGTGCATGTATAAAAATGTCATAATGATATGCTAATAAAGTATTTCTAAAAAGAGAAAGAGGCAGAATGTGTGTGGTCTTGCCTTCAAGAAAGAAGTCTATAGCCAAAAGCCTCAGGCAGCATGGTGGTGCACTGAGATCCTAACACTTACAAGACTGAGGCGAGAAGAGTCGAGTTTGAGGCCAGCCTGGGTTGTCTCATAACACAACAAAACTAAACAAAAACAAACAAACAAACAAAAAACCTAAGAAAATCAAACAAAAAGAAAATCAGACTCAAACAACTAAGTAACACAGCACACAGTTAATAGGTATGTGACAAACAAGAGGACGATGAGATCCAGCCTGCTGCTGCAGGAGATCGTCCACGGGACTTGTCTGGACACAGGAAGCTGTGGAGACAGGGACTGCATGAGAATGTGTTTGTGTCATTTTAATTTGTGAATGAGGTTTTATAAGAAAATTACCAATTTATTAGATTCATATCCTTCAGTGTGGTAGTCCTAAGAAATGACCTACTTCCTTGATAATAGTTTATTTTCTCTTCTCAAGTTAAGATTTGTTTAAAACAGAGATGAAGATAAAATCTTCATAACAAAGCCATTAAGAGAAAAGAAACTGGAGGTATTTGTAGCTCCATGAGATATGCTGAGAATAATACACTTCAACTGACACCATTGTAGTCTTAGAGTAGGCACAAATACATACAAATACATAAATACATACAAATACATAATAGTTAATGTATGAATAACATACCAAATCCAGGAACACTTTTGAGACTGGATTTGAGGCAAATTTTCTCCAGTCTGAGGTAGCTGTATCTCATCAGACAATTCCACAGGAACATCCAGTCTACTCTGGTCCGATGGTTCATAATGATGACACTCCTTTCTCCAGGTACAAATGCGTCACCTGTTATAACCACTTTGACACCAAACATTGTCTCCAACAATGCCTACCAAAATTTAAAAATGCAGATATAGAACAATTTAGGATTTTCAGGCCAAGAAGCCAGGTATGAGATTATTCTTAAACATTTCTATTAATTTATTAGATATTTACAATATTCAAAAGAAATGAAAAAATATTTAAGAGTTATGGATCTTTTTCCTTCTTGCTAATCTTGTCATGACTATGCTATGTTGCTTTTCATAATACGAAAAAAGATGACACTTAAAAACTAAATAACTAAATAAAAAATTGTCTTTGGAAAAGCAACCCTGAGTCAAAACTCAATACTTAACAATTTTTTTTAAAAATCCTGCAATTTTCCATATGTAAATTTTATCATGTTATAGCCTATTATTCTAACACATAAAACATAGTTTCCTATATTCTTGCTTCTGTAATAAGTGGGGGCTAGCTGATCAAGTATAAGACAATGAAGTACTATATACACTTATTCCACTATTTTTAATTTCTGGAAGTTTCATAATAAAAAATATAAACTACATTGGTGCGGGAGAATTATCTGTATTCTGTCAATCATGTATTTTAATAAAACACTGATTGGCCAGGCAGGAAGTGGAGGCGGGTCAACCAGACAGGAAGTAGAGGTGGGGCAATGAGAACAGGAATATTCTGGGAAGCAGGAAGCTCCCTCTGCCAGTTCTGCCCAGACCACCGGAGAGGAAAGATGTAAGTTGCCCTGCTGGAAAAGGTACTGAGCCATGTGGCTAATGTAGATAAGGATAATGGGGTAACATAAGTCATAAGAGCTAATAAGTAGCCTGACCTAATGGGCCAATCAGCTTTATAACTTATAGAGATCTCTGTGTGATTGATTTTCTTTGGGGTATGCTGGCTGTGGGGTGTCGGGCAGGACAGATACACCAACAAGCTGGCCCCTCATGTTACAATTCAAATTGACATTTCAAATCGTCAATTATATATTATTAAGTTAAAAGAAATACAAAATATGATTCTACTGGGTACTTTAAAAGATATATATTATATAATTTTTCTAGAAAGAATAATCAAAAATATAACTGAATAAAGGACTGAAGAAACTAAATTTCATTTTTTTCCATAAGATGATCTTTGGTTGCTCAAAAAGAATACATAATGACTAAAATAACTTTGTCTACTAAAATCTTTCAGCCTACCACCTACAGCAAACGTCTGGCACATACGAATGATCAAACGCTTGCTGAGTTTGTTAAACTAACATTTCTAAGACCTGTGGATATAATTTAGACTAAATATTCAGAAGAAAAGTGTGTACTACAATCTAGAGTTCTTAAGAAGTGAGCTAGCACCTCCCCCTTCTTTTTCGTTTCCCTTCATTATATTGCCCAGAATCTGCACTCAACCTCTACCTGCAGTCTTCCAAGAAACCAAGACTACAGTGTGCATGACTATTCCCAATTTCAATCTCAATCTCAAGTTATTATATGGAACATCCTATTTTATTTCATTACTAATCGAGAAAGGGTTAGTAGGGAGGTAAAATTCAACCAAGAAATTCAAACCTCTCAATCATCTTTAAATCACTCAACATTGACAGCAAAGGAGAAATGAGTATCTATGCTAGCATCAAACACAAACATAGCAGTGAAAGAGAAGTAAAACAAATCATGAATATAAATATCCACATATAAGGCTTTCTACAAGAGCAGGATATCTTAGAGGTAAAGAAAGAAAGAAACAACTATTTAAAAAGTTGTATTCATGTTACTTCTTCCAAAAAAGAGGGCGCTTGGGCTGGACGGCTGAGTAGAGCCGCCGCTAGAGCTGGCCATGCTGTTTCCTGAGCTGCTTGAGAGCCGCAGTCACACCTAAGAGCACGGACGGGGGCTGCTGGGGTTAGCAGGAGGGCTGCTGGGGTTAGCGGGCTTCTAGTCTGAGAAAACACGGCCCCAGGTTCAGGGATAAAACTCCACTGCAAAGGAATAAGTGAGCAGCGATGGAGCAAAATAAAGGACACGCTCTTCTGACCTCACAAACACACACTAACACACACATCAATACACACACGCACACATTATCCATTAACATGTACATTAGTGTTTACTAACTTTTTATGGTTTTTTCTATTTAAAAATTAAAAGCTTTATGGGTTGGGCATGTTAGCACATGCCTTTAATCCAAGTGTTTGTGAGGCAGAGCTAAGTGGATCTCTGTTTTCTTGTGATTTTATTTTAGGTAGTGTGCTGTCACCTCCACAATGTGGATATCCCGTCCTGTTCATCATTACATCCAAGAATCTGGCTTCATTCTGCCTGTGTCCTGAGAACTTTAGTGAAGCTGAATTTAAAGATAATGGACTAATTTGTTTGACAAAGGAAATTTTAAGGCAAGAACATTTACTCTGTGGCATGGCTACTTTTTACTATGTTTACCCAGTTTACAGTTAAAAAGAGAAAAGGAGCCAGGAAGTGGTGGTGCACACCTTTAATTCAAGCACTGAGGAGGCAGAGGCAGAAGGATCTCTGTGAGTTCAAGGCCAGCCTGGTCTACAGAGCTAGTTCCAGAAAAAATAGGGTTACATAGAGAAACTCTGTCTCTAAAAACAAAACGAGACAGAGAGAGATTTATTTTTACTGTGCAGTTTGTTGAGGAAGAAAAGAGCTCAAACACGTTATAAACTTCACAGCCATGAAGAACCACTTGGCTCTGTACTAGGACAATGGGAAATGCCCCTGAAGAGAAAGACTTTACCCATTAAGGGTTCCAACTTGTGAACATGAACGCTTACTTGAAGAGAAGGATCCTGAACTGGAAATGAAGCTGAAGGTCTTCTCCGTGCCTTAAAAGCAACTGTCTGGGAAAGTGTTCCCAGTGTCAGCGCGGAGAAGCTGACAGCTATGCTTCAAAGGACCCAGACCATGGCTCAAGCTGACAGAGTGTGAGACCGCACTGTGCAGTGTACTAGCTTTGTAGGCGAGAAATCTGAGAGACTGAGGAGGCCATGGAGTCCTTTTCAGAGAGAAACCGAGGCCAGGCAATGGTGTGGCCGGGACAGACTCCCTATAAGGAGCTGCTGCGGACAGATGTGAGGCTGTGAAGGTGAGCCTGTTTCCGCAGAGACCAGGAGATTGAAGGTGTCAGAATCCTTTCTCCTTTAAGTAGCTGTCAACAGGGTATTTCATCACAGAATGAGAAAAGCAACTAGTACTGAATCCCTAGAAGCTTCCACTTCCTTCTCCATAAGCACTGATAAGGTGGCAGCTGAAACAAAGCCATCCTCCTCAAGCACTTAGAGGGGTCACATTGGTGGTCAACTGGTTTTACTCTCATTACATCTGGATTCTTACACTGTTGTTTCTTTTTAACAAAGCCTTCAAATTATTTTTGTACCTGAGCTAAATATACAACCACACCATGGTTACTTGGTCCAGTACACAAGTCCTTTCCTGTGCCTACAGAACAGACCACTTAAAGTGTGAGTGTAGAAAGAAGTCAGAAGCTAGGAGGACCAGGCTGCAAGTATTGCATTTCATAAAACAGATACATCTGTACAGAAAATTTAAAACCCAGATAATTTTAAGAAGGGAAGGATTAGTTTTTTGCAATTAATGAATGCAAGTTTAAAAGTCATTCACCACAGGACTTACTTTTAAATAAGAAAAGTATATGTAAATGGTTTAACAGTCAATTATCAGGAGATTTTTTTTAAAATGTCTATCTGACCCCAAGCACTCTTTCAGTGACTACTGATCAATCTCCATCTGAAGGGTCCACAGCAGCTGCATGACCTTCATCCTGCGGGCAGGCATTCCACCTGTTGCCCGAGGGAGACACGCTGCTCAATGAAACAGGTAGGAAAGGCTCCTTTACAAACTAGGGAAGAACATTTTCCCTCCTTGTTTTCTTTTTCAGGTACTAAACTCATCGACTGCCTACCAAAACAGACTGATACACCCAGCAACCTGAGGAGAAAAGAGGAATAGCTGTCGCTAAGGAGAGAAAGACCAGACCAGTCCCCAAGAGACCATCCAAGGAAAGACAAGCGCACAGGGCCCACGGATGCACAACAACCTCTTCTCAGTCCCAGAGGAGGGGAACCGGCAAGATCAGAAGGAGGTGCGCTTGGAGCAATTATAGAGCGCCACAGACCCCAGGACTCTGCTGAACATTTGATGCTCTTGAATAGTATCTCATCCAAGCTACTAATCTCATTTTCAGATAGAAATCACATTTTCTTGATATTTTTTATGTTCTTAATTTTTGTAATTACTGGAAAGATGTGAATCAATCACACCTCTATCAGAAATTTTAAAAGATGTTTACTATTCATGAGGGGGGTTACATTTACTTAAAATATTTCATTAAAATAATCTGATATTCTTTCACCTTCCCCATAGACTCTTAATGTGTCACTGCTTTGTAAAACACAGAATGGAAATGCAGAATAAAATTTAGTGATGTAAAAATTCTTCAATATTTAAAATTTGCATATTTTTCTAGATATAATCCTCCATCATATGAAATATAAAAGAAAATTCATGAAGAATATACAAAGAAGCTCTTAATTTTCTGTAAGGTTCTTTATAAGGGTTTTCTTTAAAGACACGAATTTTGTATTTCTATTTTTTTCTATTTTCCCACTTCTTTCTTAAGTCAGACGTGCCTACTGTAGAACACCAAGGACTTCTGTTTCCCTGAAAACCAAATCTCTGACGCTAAAAAAGTACAAGAGCTGGGATACCCACTACAAACAGAGACACCCTTCTTTTGTGTGTGACTTACCACAGGAAGTGTGAGCCACATAGCCACAAGGCGGCTGCTGATCCAGCGATACCATGACAGGTTTATAAACATCAAAGGAATAATGGGACCCAGCATAAAAATACTTCCGAAAAAGCTTCCCACAAACAGAAAGAGTATAAAATAAATCCCCTTCCATGACACCATGATTCTGAAAGAGAAAACAAAACAAAGAATATATTTTATTACTATACATTTAGTTGTTCCAATTCCATCAAAACTATGCATACAATACTCTTTAATGATGAGGCTACTGAATAACTCTGACAAAGGCTAGAAGAGACTCAATTCCCTGCTCTACAAGGCTGACAAGTTGCCAGTACACCAGAAACTGATACTCTCAAACAGTACATAAATGTCTGTTATCCAGAAAAATACATTGTCTGGTGTATAAGAAGTCTTTTTAAAATCAATTGGCACTTAACATAAAAGGGTATTTTTCTTTCCTAGGTTACTATTTCAGAGATTGTTTTCTACCTAGGAGCCAAAATAAAGCATTAAGTTTTGCAGAAAACTTCCTAAGGGTGAGCACACCTAAAAGCAACAGCAGTCTCACAGAGAACATTAAAATTGAAAGAAAAGAATCTGAAGAGTTCGTTCTTCATGTCAGACCCTGAAGATATATCTCTGGGCACCCAGTCATAGATGGGCTCCTTATGAGCTTGCTGGGTAAGTCAGCCAACCCCTTTCCTTTATCCAGACATCTGCCAAAGTATTAACTTAGAATACCTGAAACCAAAACCTAACATGGATATTTTAAATCAAATGCTTGGAAACATAGTTGAAAATGAAGACTCCAACATTTCGTTTTATAAACCTAAACTAAACAGAACAAATTGATACCGAATGAAGTTTAAATTGGTACCAAGTGAGGGCTGAAGAGATGGCTCAGTGGTTAAGAGCACTGGCTGCTCTTTCAGAGGTTCTGAGTTCAATTCCCAGCAACTACCATCTGTAATGAGATCTGGCGCCCTCCTCTGGCATGTGGGCATACATGGAGGCAGAATGTTGTATACACAATAAATAAATAAATCTTTAAAAAAAATTGGTACCAAGTGTATGTTTTAAATTTTACCAATATTTGATGGTATATACACAAAATCCTAAGATTTTATCCTTAGGATAAATCCTTAGAATCCTAAGAAATTCTAGATCTGAACCTTTAGGGAGAGGGACAGGGAATCATGGAGGAAAAGATGACTAGGAAGCAGTGGCGCAGACTCCAGCACACAGGGCTACAGGCATGCATTCCCACAACCCTCCATATCACTGTCTCAGAGCCTCTTTGCATTAAAAACATCAGCAGCAGCTTCTCCCCAGTCTTCAACATAAATCTTTTTTAACAGAAGAAAGGCACACAGGCTTTAAATTCAGTATTTCAGATCTGCCTCTTATACACACACCCACTACCACCATCTACAATGTTGCTCTCTGTTTGAAACTCCTCTTATCTACCTTTTCCTATCTGTTATTTTCTGCCAGTCAGCCAGTCAGCAGCTAACTCTAGACACTTGTTCCTAACCTCCCTGGTGGAGCTACAGGTTTGCACCGTTATCCATTCAGGCAGTATCCTCATCAAAACCTCCTGCACGCTTCTACCTTACCAATTTCTGACTTGATGTGATTATAAGAAAAGAGCCTAGCTATCATCAGAAGCTTTCCACTGTATAGCAGCGAATCTGAACCCCACGGAGGCTAAAAGGACTTTCCTAATTCAACACAAAGCATCCCTTCCTGCCTAGTCCACCTTCCACTGCATCATGCCATCTCCCTCTTGCCATGCAGCTAAGAATTAGACCAACATCAGCCTTTAACTGTGTACGTAAACAAAGACAAGCTAATAAAAGGGATCTACCGCCATGACTGCAATGGATTCTATAGATCCAACGTAATCTACTTTAATATTTTTATGAAACAATAAGCATTTAAAGAAATCCCTACTGTGTGCCAGTCACGGGACTAGTCATCATCACCAAAGGTCTCACAAATCTAGGAATGAAACTTAGGGCCTCTTGCCCATGAAGCACAAGCCCTCCCCTCCTTGACCTATTGGTCTCATCTCTCTCTTATGTGCTCCTCTCTGGCTCTAGTTCATAGCCTTTTTCTGTATTTTTACTCAAGTCCTAATTTGGGGGTCAATAGGTTAAGAATAGCTATGTACTTATTTGGAAGAGGCAAATATTGAAGGAAAACACAACGTCAAGGACCAACACAGATGTGCAGCAATCTGAACTGACAAACATTGCTGGGGAAAACTCCAACTTGTCTGCAGCTCTGGGAAACAACTCAGCAGTTTTACAAAATGCTACATTGATAGCCACCATATTTATACTAGTAAATCCACTGGATGTCCTGTACAAATAAAACATTATCTTCACACAAAAAGTTCTACATAATCCTTTATAGCACCATTTCTCACAACTGCACAAAGCTAGAACTAACCTGTCAGTTGAGGGTGAGTAGATACTGAATTGGTATTCATCAATGAAGATATATGCCTAATGTAGGCCATTTGAGTTACTCTCAAATGGTGTGCTGAATCAAAAATACCAGGTGCAAAAGACCTTTCTTCTGGGGGGCATTCTGGGCAAGGCTAACCCACAGGAGGGGAACAGATGAGTGGCTGCAAAGGTTAGGGGAAGAGATAGTCCGAGTACCGGAGGATGACACAGGCAAGCTTGTAGAAGAGCAAACTGCTCTCTCTGTTTCCTGACTGCACAGTGCAGATTGGTGGAAAACACATCCACTAGCTTCCTTCTGTAGAGCTGGGCACTAAACCCATGCATACTTACATGGCTCTGTCACTAAGCAGCATGCACACCCACTCTGGACATTTTAAATTATGATCCGCCTATAATCTCGCATTTGGGAAGCAAGGATCCCGAGTTTAAAGCTACAGAGTGAATCTGAAGCCAGCCTGAACTACATAGCGATACTCTGTTTCACAAATAAAAAAATTTTAAAATGACTAACTTGTCATTTTCTTGTTCCTGTGAAATTCTATACTTTAAATTATTTCAATAATAATGATCTGAAATATTTTTTCCAAGCTTTTATAATGAGCCAAATACTGCTTGATGTATTTGATTTGAGTAGACTTTAACAGTAACAATAATCTCATGGCATGGGTATTTTTATCACCCCTAATCTAGACATCAGGATTCTGTAGCACAAAAATGTTAAAGTAATTGGCTCGAGGTTAAACAGCTACTATATAGCAAAGCTGAGAACTGGCTCTAGGGATTCTGGTGCTGGTGTCTATACTCAGTCTGCTATATTATACATATTTTTCAAGACTGTATTATTTTTGTAATTAAACACATACTTTAAAAGAATTACACTACAAGGATAAACTGTAAACAAAGTTTTAATGCTTTATTTTAAAAAGCATTCTGAATCTTAGACATTCACGGGAGCTTTATGAGAAAGGCTCACTAAGTCATTCTTATCTTAAGATCCTTTAGTTCACTGTGATAAAGGTCCTAACAGAGGTATCATGGAACCGTCAGTCAGTTAGGACCAGGGATAATGGGTGCTTCTCTAATGCATTCAAGAAGGCATCTTCCTGGAGGAAGCAGGGAGAAAATTCAGGCAGAAAAACAACATACAGGTACATAGAAATTTGAAACAGCATGGTGGAAAGACTTAGAAATTACAGAAGTATAAAAGAAAACAAGGTTCAGAATGTTGGTATGCAAAAAATCATAAGAGCATTGGCCCTAGGGAGAAAGCTACACCCAAGTTAGGATGGGAAAAACAGCATTTCATCTTGGCACAAGGAGTAGGGGGAAAATCTAAGGCTTATGACTCATCTTTTAAGACAGGTGTTAAAAGTGACACAAATGTGGACAGCCTAGCTTTGCTAAGAGCCTTCTCTGGACTCTGCAACAGATAACTCATAAGACTTACTAGCAAAAAGAGCAGGACTGAGAAATACCGCTTTGCAGCAGGTCAGACACAAAGCACAACATTTGACAACCAGCTGATTATGAGCACACTTAGTTACCTGCATACCTCACCTGCAACATGAGGAGGTTTGGGGCAGATCCTAAGACCTCTGCTAGTTTGAATGTAGGCTTCCTTTTATTTATCAGACACTTTATACAGGGCTTGTGGTATTTATCTGCTTAGCATCTAAACAATTGTCTTGCTTGCCAGTACAAATGTGCAATCCCAGCTACCTCTCACAGAATCAGGGAAATCCCAGGTTCAAGACCTGCCTGACCACAGTGGATGCACCACCATCTGAGCAACTCTGATGGACCCTGCTCAGTACAGGACATTTACAAGGTACTGGGTCTGTCATTTTCTATTGACAGATGATTTTTATACATTTTTGTTTCCTTAGGGCATGTGCAGTAATTCATTCTCTCCATTACTGTTTCCTATATCCTTTTTGATAAAAAGTTATCTTTCCAGTTTTTTTTAAGGTGGTAAGGATCAAATCTAGAACCTCTCAAGTGCTACATAAGTACTCTACCACTGAACTACACTCCTAGCCCAAAATTAATCTAGTTGTTAATTTTATTTAAAAATAAATGTATCAGGAAAGAAAATATTCTGTAAATCTTTATCTTTATCCCTACAGGCCAATGTCTCAACTCTCATCAGAGAAGTTTATTTATTGCAGTAGATGGGGACCAAGACAAGAGATGCACAACTTAAGAGATCCTGCTCCTCGTTGTGTGCAAGGCCCTGCTCCACACTGCTACACAAAACACCTTTCTGAGCCATGAATGGAATGCCAAGTGAATCTGGCACAAATTCCAGTTTGAACTTGGTTTCTGACCACACGATAATATAAGCATTGTTGTCCTTTCCATGTCTGGTTTCCAGATCAGCAGGTGACATTCATTTTATTTGTCTTGGGCGTCTGTTTTGACGCACTTCTGTGAGGTGAAAGGCAGCAGCTGTGAACTAAGAAGCAGAATGACACACATTCCCACTGGACAGTCAACACCCGCAGGGTCCCACCAGATGCCCTGACTGCTGAGTCTGTTTACCAAACTCACTGAACTCTTGTCCACTGCGTCCTGAAGCAGAGGATCTGACCAACTCTCTAGAAACTGAAGTTTTATGATCACCCCAGCTGCCCTAGCACCTTAGAGAGTCTCAGTTGTCAGTTAACGATGGCAGTAGCAGAGCATGCTT